ATTTAATTACGATAGCAGAGCATTGTGCGCATTGAAACGGCGCCGGCGTATCGCAGCGGAAAAACCTACATCGAGAAACTGCGCTGTGAACGCAATTCTAATCGTGTACTTACAAAGGGGCATCGCGTTCAAAATCGCGGCGTGTCGCGCCACGTCGCTTAATGAGCGATTGCAGATAGATAATGCGCGCGGAAGCGAGATTCAACGAGGGAGTAAGCTCGCGGAAGCTAGCATCAGCAAAGCGATTTGCGAAGGCACAAATGTGCTTTTTACCTGAACGATCGGCACCTTCGCTAATGAATAATTAATAGTTGACGCGGCAGCGATGCGAAATCGGCGAGAGACTTCAAATCCGCCCAACTGTAATCTAGAACACATGGGACCGTAAGAGCATTAAAGTTCTTGTTCTTAGAAGATCTCGAGATGAGACTTCGTTTTTTGTTATTTTCTAGCGGATTTATTATTTTCTTTCATCCGGATAATGATCACTGATTACTTCTCTACTTTATTAATTTTCATTTTTGTAACATAATGATTTCACTCGCGAGATTGTAATAATGACATGAAATATATACAATTTTCCTAATGCGTTCTTTCAAAATCAAACTATATGATTTATAATTTATCTTATTAATGATTTAATGGAATAATAATAATGCTTAAAATTGCTATTTCTCAGTATTTCCTGAGTAATTTGAATGTCTATCAATTATTTTATTGTCTATTATTTATCTTATTTTCATTAACTTTTGTTTTCGTTATTAATGATCGCAATTGTAATGCCTGTAATCTCATCGTAAATGATATGAAAATTGAATCTTTTTAGTAGCGCGTCTTTGTATAGCTCGAGCTGTCTTATAATTTCTCTTATTAAAATAATTGAATGGCAAAGGATACGCTAGAGAAATACTGTAATATACAAATAACTAATCTTGATTTGATACTGTCGATTCATACCATGCTATTGTCGTCGACGGTGAAAGCCGTTACAAGAGGGAAAACCTCGTGAAAAGATAGTTCTCTGATGAGTGCATACTTTCTACACGACAAGGACTGGAGTCATCTTCACGATCGGCGAACATCCTACCGGATGCGGCGATATTCGCGCGGACATGATAGATGCGATTAATTGTCTTGGCCGATATTCCGCATTTATAGACGATATTCAGGTCGACCATTATCGAGACATCGTGATCTAAGAACTGCAGCGCGTTGTCTTCTGTTAGTTTCACTTAAATTGCTTCGCGCCTCGTTGCATCCCTGCCATTGTCCGACGCGTTTACGAAAAATTCAATCTGACGATCGGTATCTTTTCTTGTTAGAAAGATCTTGTTATTCTGGAACCGAATGTCAAATAGTATTTCTGGAGAAGGTGTCTGCGAAAAATTCATGTCTAAATAAATAAATTGCATTATAACTTTCGCGTAGATTGTACTGGAAGCTTTCGGTAAATTTCTTTTCTGGATTGAAACGAAATCTTAATTCGCTTACGGTCCAATAAGATAGCCTGTTAATAGCTTGTTCTGGTTTTGGTTTCGATTCCTTGGCCGAACAAGAAAACCGGAACCGTTTAATTTACGGTACTTTTCGGTTACGGTTCTTTCAAAGCTTCTCGTTTCTAATTATATTGTATTTTGATTAATTTTTGTTTTGTCAGGAATAATATGCTTTTTTTTATATAAAAGTGCATAAGAAAGTTTTGTTGTATGAAACGGAAACACTGTGCAATTTTCCTATAAGAAAATGAGAATGATTATAGAATGGAAGAGGTTGAGCATTGCTTGAGCATTGTATTCATTTTCACCCTTTTTGCTGCTTACTCTTTAATTATGACATTAAGGGAGCAAAGTCGAGAAAAATGCGAGATAGCCAGTTGTTTCATTTACAGTATAATCTTACAATGTGAACAGATAAGAACGTGTTATATGAAATGCGTTATCATCAATCATATGAGAAGGATCTCACGAGAACAATCCATCGCAGGTATCTTACCCCTTTACGTAACAAGTCTGTTATGTATTTATGTGAACGTCATTTGATTATATACAAGTAACCTTTATAAATTTTTAAATTCTCCTTTTTTCGGATTTTGATTTATGTACACATCATATGTTATTTGCAATTATATTAGATTATTATCATTATATACGTTCTGCCTGTTATCAAATATAAGATAAAAGTTTAATTTTTAAAAGCACTTTGTATGCAAAATCAAATCATTTGTTAGCGTTATATATAACGGTTTTTCATCCTTTTACATTTTTTGTGTCTTTAAAGTTTATATTTTTAGCAAGAAATTTTGCATAGATGACAGATGCGAACATTTACAGCTTCTTCTCTAACTGTTACATAAATTTTCTGCCGCATCTACTACGGTCAAATTGAAGTTCGTAATATATGCAGTGTTTTATATTTATAGTTTGCATTATTTCGAATTCATATAATTTGTTTTAAATATACAATATATGCGATCGGCCATAAATTATCTCTGGATATCTCGCACTATAGTGTTGACATTACAAAAGCAAAATAAATTGTTACATAATTCTAAAAGCAATATTAACAAATATTTTAAATAGTCATTAAAAATCGCTTGACGATTACAATTATCTGCTTCACTTATGAATGTTTCTTTCATCTTAGTAGCAAAAAAAAAAAAAAAAAAAAAAAAAAAAAAAAAAAAATATCATGAATGATTATTAGTAAATGGCTTATTACACTATAAGTACTTCTGCTTATTCTTTAATTGGCTTTCCTATTGAGAAAGATTTCAGATCGATTTCGCTTGAACTTCGATGTCAATGAACCTTTTTACCTTCGATCGAAAGGCGCAAGGTGTCGTCGAAACGGGAAGAGAAGGCCGAGAAGAGAGCCTGAAAAGGTGAACAGAGCACAATCGTAATTTCATACCCGTCACGTCCACGATTGGTCAAACCACTCGATACCGGCCTCGAGAATGTCAACCGTTCGAGTACCGTTCGTCGTCTCGACGGATCGACTGTAGTTCAAGTCTTCTTTTGCTCGGCGAATTGCCGTGCCAACTGATCCGCCCTTTCGCGAGAAAACCGCCGAGATCACCTGACTAGAGTCGAGGACAGGGTCACGATGCGGTTTCTCATTTGTCTTCAGGTTTCTCGCTCGCAACATACTATTCAGAGACATGTTACGAAATTTTCTTCGTGTTGTAGCTTTCTTTATTTATTTTCAAATCTTATATAAAAAGAAAATTTTATTTTTATTTTTATCCAATATTAATTCTGCGTGAGATTATAGATATATTTATTCAATAGCAAAAATGCTTCATAGGCGAGATTAAATTTACGCGAAAATTGTCAAAAACTTAGGTATTAAATTTCATATCCTGTATTTGATACAGCTGTTTCCAACTTCACGTAACATTTAATTATTTTATATTATATATAAGGTTACATAAATTTTATAAAAATAAAAGAGATAATAATATTCTTTACGTAACAGAGAAAATCTTTATATATAATTCTAATTTGATTTGTCGCGGAAATGGGACTATTTACGATACGACAGGACAAACGCAATAATTACAACAGTATTTTTCGCTACTCCGATACAAAGGTCTATTTCGCGTATCCTTAGCATCGTGCGAATTTAACAGTTCCTCCTGAAATAAAAAAAAGCTTGCACACGCACACCTTTTCCCTTTGTAGGGCCGCGAATTGGCGATACCGTAAGGTAACCCTTTCAGAGTACCGTTTGGGCGCGAAATTATTTCATCTGTGTGCGCCGCGCGCGTCTCGATCAAGCGCACGAGATCTTTCTCACGCGAGCATTGCAGGGCTAATTACGCCCCAAACGACGATATAATTATACATTTTTGCGCATCAAAATAAGGAAGTGGTCGTTGCAATTAACACGCTTTTTTCCTTTTACTCGCTGCAACAATTTCCGAGCGACCCTTTGTGTTGCTGCGCGCGTTTTGCACGTCCCTTTTAATTCTCGCACGCCACCCCTTTATAGTCCCCAATCAGTCTTCTGCAAACAGCGACGTTTGCGCAATATCACGAAAAGGGTTCATCAACCTTTTATGCAAGCATTATACTACCGCGAGTTCCTCGAGCATGGAGAATATTCCTTATACGACCATAGTTCTAATAGTCTTCACTTCAGTGGTTTACCGTTTTAATATTCGCGTTAAGCACTGGCATACAGCTTATTTGGGTTTATCGCCCTCACGTGTGAGGTTTGTAATATAGTCGAGCACAGAGTTGACTTTTTACTGAAAATCTTGAAGTGAAAAATTCTAGCTTAAAGAGACATACCCGTTCGAAACCTCAAAATATATTTTCTAGATTTTTTTACAGCGTAACGACTTGATCAAGATTTTTAATTTTTTTTACTATATTAATACAATATTATTAACTACTTAAATAAAAATTTTCAACTTAAAAAGAAATTTTTTTTAAAGTTACGGGAATATTTGCAGAGCTTCTCCAAATTTTAGGTGGCTGCACGGTGTGAAAATGTTTGTAGATCATATCTCAAATCAAAAATACAAGTTCTTTTTATTAAACATATTAATAGCTATCTGCTATCCAAGCGTTTTTTCAAAATCTTAAAAAATAAAAAAATGGCGGCGTGTTGAAAAAAAGTTTTTATGCACACCGTGCATGAAAATATAAATCTGCAAATATTTGCATAACTTTAAAAAAAAATTTTTTAAGCTGAAAATTTTTATTTAAGTATTTAATAATATTATGTTAATATTGTAAAAAAATAAAAAGTTTCTATCAAGTCGTTGCACTGCAAAAAAATCTAGAAAATGTACTCATTTTTCGAAAGTTCAAAGAGGGTATGCTTTCTTAAATTTAATTAAAAATTTGTATCATTACATGCTATATCAATTAGTGTGTGTAACATTTTTCTCTCTTTACATAAGAAATTACAATATATTTTACGATAAACATTTCACTTTTTTATTTTCTAGATTCTGAAAAATATTTATATAGGTTTTTATTTATTTACAGGAGTGTTGGCCATACAAAATGATAAAACATCCTCTCGTACCTCTCGAGAAAATATCGTGCTGAGTGCCAGCGCGTACTCCGGTCCCGAAAAAACATCCAGTGATAGTCAATCGGACGAGTCCTTGACTTTTCAAAGGACCGTCCCAGCATTTCAGTTGGAAAGCTCGAAGAGCGTTCGCGATTACGATGGGGAACAATCCAGGTTCGTATTCAAAGATACGGATCGCGACGAGCCCATCGACGAACTAACGTCGTCGAAGCATGTGGCCCATATCGACGGTAATAACATCGAAGTAAAAGCCGGAGAATATTACAAGTAAGTCATTTTGTTTTTATGGATACTGATAAAAGGGCGAGTTGCGAAGTCGACTCTAAACTTAAATGGATTTTTTTTTTTTATATGAAATAGTATAACTACAAAAAAACGTTTGCAAACATTTTTCTGATCCCGGCTATAGCACAGTCGTTAAAGTTCCAATTTGCTATTAACTCAATTTTTATCTTGTGATTACATTCAAGATTAAATATTATAAAATAATTTACTATATGATATTAACAATATAATAACGTATTTATATAAATTAATAATAATATTAATTTAATATTACTTTAATTTAATCTTAAATATAATCCAAAATACATTTTGCGAAATAATTTATTGCCATCAATAGGATAGCGCCCACTACCAGCGAATCGATGTCGGGGGAAGGACAAGGGGCTCCGCTGAGAGTAGATCTCCTGTCGGAGCCCCATCAGCTGGTTGGCGTTCCGAGGCAACAAGCACAGCATTCGCAACTAGTAACGGATCTTCAACGACGAGGCCGTCAAGAGATCCCGAGGATCTATAAGGAGCACGCGCCGCCGCCGATTTTGCAAACTGTCGCACCAGGTCAAAGACAAGCAAATCCTGATATACAAGACATTATCACCGGCATCGTCAAGCTACTCAATGGCAACGTAAACGTAGCTGCCAACACCGTGAGGCCATTGAGGCCGATACAAGCCACAAGGTATTGCAAATTTTACATTAAATTTGTTATGAAAATTATACACATAATTACGTGTATTCTTTCTTATTTTCAAATATATTTAAGTATGAATTAAAAAAATTACGTTGCACTTACAGGATCAACAATAGAGGACCGCCAAGAATTTCGGATGTGCCGCCTTTACCGCCGGATTTTGACACTCCTGGTATGAATCCACCACCGCCGCCGCCGCTCTCATCATCCCATCCTTATCCGTTCGAAAAGCCCCCTGCACCCGACAGACCATTGCTAAATCAATTACCACCAGAGAGACCCGTTAGGCCCTTCATCAACGGAGTGCCATTACCAGAACAGGTCGTGCCGCCTTGGACTTGGGACTCTTCGCATAGTACGTCGTGTATAATTACGCGTCTAATTAATCATTTATTTTGCACGGATGCTTTAACATAACGGGACATAAGTATAGATATAGCATGTAGAAGATTCTATAATTTAATTTTCATTTTAACAAAATTACCGGGAATTACTTACTTTTTTTCAAGATGGCAACAGACGACCGGTACTATCCTACAAACCCTCGCCACCCCCGCTGGATTCCAGTTTCCATCGCGATAAGAATTTCTCGATGACGGAGAATTCGCAATACGATTTAAAACCGGAATCTGAAATATCCCAAGAAAGCTCCACGATAAAGAAAGACGCTAGCCATCAAGAAACGCCTATCGAAGACGGCGATACTAAGAATCATACGAGCAATTTTGGCGTTGATAAAGATCGAGTCGAGATCACCGCGACGAACAATGATTCAGCTATTCAGACCACGACGAAAAAGTCTGAAATTGAAGAGTCTACAAAGAAGCATCATATCGTAAACAAGTATCATACACCTTTGAAGGAGAACAAAATTAATGGCGAGGAAACATTGATCCTCGGTGTCGCTACAGATTACATCACTCCGACTCACACGACGCGATATCCGGAACCCTCGAAGACGACAACGTCTTCACAAGTTAAAGTTACGAAATCGTCGAAGAGCGACGAGAAAGCTTCGTTTGCAACTTTCAAGGTGGAAAAACCGATCGAGAAAACTACCTCGATCGCCACGAAGACTTTCTCGACCAGTACCTTAAATATAGAGACCAGTTCGTCGGTTCAAGTGATCGAATCTATACCGACAAAAGTCATTCTTCGACCGACTTTCGCTGATTCTGCAGAATCAAGCACCGATATCAAATCCGCCGTGAATTTGGAACCTAGCAGCGTATCAGATGTCGAATACACAGAACCGATGTCCAGCCTCTCGACGCCAACTGACGGTCTTCCTACGAGTTATTCAAGGAGCTCGACCACGATGGAAAAGAGTACCGTTCGTCCTACGACCCTTACGAAAAATACAGGCATGTAAAAAAATATATGCATATTGATAAATAAAAGTAAAATAATTAGAACTATACTAATATAATAATTGTTATAATTAATTAAAATTATATAGGATCTACGGAACGTTATCGTCCACGACCTGGAATCGTTCTGGACGACACTCTGGATTATACAGGTGCGCAAGGATTGCCAAGTCAGAGGCCTTACATCACACCATTGAGACATCCAGCTCCCGGTGACATCTTTGATGTAACTGTCTCGGCAATTCAGGGGCCTGGAGGAAGCTCCGGTAATTGTCTTAATTGCTTATGTCATTTTCCTTTAGTTGCATGCGTATTTTACATTATGTTTTCAGTATGTAGAAATTTATGTAATATATATTTCAATATATAAAATTTTTTTTACTAATATAAATATTTAAAAAAATAATTTTTTTTACTAATATAAATATTTTGAAAAAATATAAAAATTTTTTTTTAGATTTTCATGCTTGATTCATTTTTAGGAGAGAGCGTTAGGGTATCTGTGAACTCAGGTAGCGGTGATGTCATATTAACTTCCGCTGTGGGCGGACAAGGTTTCGTTAGCATCGATGGTAAAAGAACGTATCTAAATTTGTTCGATAATACGGATCGGACACCCGGATCCACCCATGTACAACCGCAACCGACTAGAACTCAACCGCCGCCCATCATCGGTACTGGGTGAGTCTCGATTTCAATAACAGTAAAAATAAAGAGATCTTTTATAAATAGTAAAAAATTTTACTATTTTTATTTAGTAAAAAAAAAAAAATATACGTCAATTTTTTTTGGCAGTTTAATCTTTTCAAAGTACGAATCCGATTTAAAAATAATTTAGTTTTCTATGTCATGGTAAAAAAATTTTGTTATATAGAAAAAAAATAAAAAAAAGAATTATATTTGTGACATTAAAACCTTCGCTAGTCTTGCCATTCCACAACCGGACGTTCCTGTCGCCACTTTACGCCCGAATGGACCGAACCGGAGGCAACCACCGTTATATCGAAGACCGACACAGCCACCCGTCAGAATAGACACTTGTATCGTAGGCGATACAAGTACGTGCGACGCGAATCAACACGAGGCTTGCGCGACCGTTCAAGGGGTATCGGCTTGTCATTGCAAGCCAGGATACGCGAGATTGCAGCATTCGCTACCGTGCAAAAGTTAGTAAACGATCGAAGATCATGAGATTATCACATTACGACTGACACGGTTTACACCCAATATTTATTTTTTTTTCAGGGATTGTTAGCATTGTTGTGTCAATTAGAGTGGATAAATTCTACGACAAGAAAATTGTATGGGATCGAGGACTGGCTGATAAGGATTCAGAATCTTATCAGACTCTCGCTTACGAGGCCAATAGAGCCGTAAGTCTCGATTATTTAAACTTTCTTCTTAATAAATTATATTCTAGCTAATTAAAAATTTTTCATATACGTTCTTTTAATATATTATACATTTTTTCTTTATTTTATCTACACATTAATAATTTGTTTTATTTAATACATGCAAGTTTCAGCTATATTATTTAATTTTTATAAAATTTATTATACAGATTGAATCTGCCATGTCTATGACACCGTTTTCGGATGAATACATGGGATCACTGATAAACAATGTTTATCAAGGAGACGTGAGTCAAGGACAAGGCGGAGTTTTTATAAATGCAACTTTAAAGCTCACTTACGAAGCGAGAACAATTAGGCCAAGTTTAGCTGGGGAGCTCCAAAGACATTTACTAGGTGTTATTCATAGAAGGAATAACAATATTGGAAACAGTGCCTTATATGTAGAGAGTCCACCTGGATCCATATCGAATTTGCAAGGTAATTCTTGATTGTTAGCAGTAATAATTGGTGATATTTTAATTATGAAATAAAATATAATTATAAAGTAGTACAATGCTTAAAATAAATTATATTGTATACTTAAGGGGATCCAAAAGCTCATCTGTTTTACCGACCATAATAATTAATATTTGCTTAATATAAAAGTTCTTATTATTCTATTCAACTAAAAAAGAGATTTTGATGTGCAAAATAATAATTTTTGGTCAGTAAAACAGCCGAGATTTTGGATCCCCTTAAAATAAAATACGTAAAAAACAAATTACGTAAAATAACCGAAAAAGCTTTGCTTACAATAAATAAATGATTTACAAAATAATTAAAAATAAAAATTTATATATTAATATAAATATA